AAAGACTGTATTTGGGCCAATCATAGATTTAATGTTAATTAAAATTATAGTTACTGATTCAAAAAAAAATAGTCTTTGCTTATCATGATTACGTATTGTGTAGCCTTCAATAGATTTACACATCGTTATTCTTATAAAGCAATGGTCAGCTATCTATTTAAGCACCCCAAATATCGTTCAAAGAGGTCAAGACTTGTAATCTTTGAAATTATCTCATGTAACATATCGGATCATATAACGTGAACTGACATGCAACTTAAATCATTCATGATTTAATGAAGAAAATCAAGAATTAGATAAAATTAGAAGGTGGTCAATGTTTTGTTGTCATTAAACCTTTAAAATTCCAAGTCATCTCCTTTCAAAAACTACTTTAAGAATACTGAGATCTATGAAGTTCGTTTCAAATGTCATCGACAAAAAAGGATGAAAACAAATTATGTCATTTATTTCGGTTGAGAAATAGTGAATAAGATGGTTCATCCTGGAATTGGACTATGATTCTCAATTTAGACAATTTAAATGTTTGAAACCTAGTCATCAATTAAGTTATCAACGACTTTATCACTTAGGAAAGTAGTTTGTCGAAATGGATGATATATAACGTTTATAAGATTCTCACTACACGAAAGTACTCTGACTATATGTAATTTATCTAAGAGAATTTTGCATACTAGCAATATGCGTACAGAGAGTGTTCGATAGATCTGCACATAGCACATCTATGGTATGCATATGGAACTGTACTGATATCGACTTTCCCATACGCATTCCAGGTCGATTGACTTGAATAAAGTTTCCGAAAGATCCACAACCAAAATTAATTCTACTGTGATATTGTTTTTTTTAATGTTATTTAAATAGCTTAAATAAAGAAAAGAAACGTAACGTCAGAGTTTTACTATATTCTTCGTCATTAGTCAAACAAAATTCAATTGATGATGTCATAAAACGGTGGAGATGAAAAAGATCGCTAAAAGCTTAATTATTTATTGAGAAGAGAATAGTTAAAAGTTGTCTGACAACCAAAGATACTTTATTCGTGAATAATTCAATGAGAGATGCAGAACCATCTTGACTTACCGAACAAGATTCAGTGGCACTACTAAGAACGGTAACTAAGTCAGAATCATCGACACATATTCCACGAAAATTTGAGCATCTACCAACAGCACACTTAAGAGAAGTTAGTGCCGGTAACGGTGGATAAGCCAGAGAATTGCAAAGATTTTCATTGCAACAAAATTGCTTCGATGAACTGCGACACTCATATGAGGGCATTAAACCTCGAAATGTCGAACCTTCAGGGGTTACAGTTATCTGAACAAGAAAAAACGAAAAGAATAGTTATGATATACGCTAATCTCTAGTTTGACTAGACACACCGCACATGAATATAATATTTCATCGTCCATAGAAGTGATTCTTCTAATTGCATTCGATTTAGGTGAAAATAAAGAACCACACTCTTGCCCTCCACGACACCAATAACATTCCAAAGTTTGACTTTTTTGAATTTCTATGAAATAACGTCAGTAAATATTCATTGAATTTGACTTAGGATGTCACTTACCCAGAGCTAATATCCCATAAAGTACGATAAATATAACCATGCTTTGTTGAGTTTTTTTCCAGTCAAATTTTAAATTGTTATATTATGTTTCTTTTATTTGCCTAAAATATTAATAAGAGTTACATCAGTTTTCATTTAAATGCTGGCGTTTTTTAATTATGGCTGCACAAAAACGAATGTCAACTAGTAGGTTCTTCCTCGACATATGTATGAATTTAGATAAACTTATTTATATTAGACTTGACAATAGTATGTCACGCAAAGTAATAGAACAATTAAGAACATGAAATATGCCCTCAACCCATCTTGAACTTATTAAAATATTCTTTTTACTCGAATGTTTCTATTGGTTCCAGGTTCATCTGATGACCTAGTTGAATCGTTGCATAGGCTTTGATATGGAATACACGTAATAAGAAAAAAGTTCCGACATTGGGACGAAAAGCTTTATGCTACGGATCTGTCTGAAACTACCACATTGCGATCATCCAATACGTTTTAGTGGAAAAATACCACTCGTCAAAATGTAAAGCAATCAGAAGTTGATAAATAAAAAAGCACACAACCATTAAAGATAGACTCATGGACATGGAACTTCATAGTAGTACTGATATTTATCTCATGGTTGCTAAATTATGGTTGATGCTGTGAAGTAGCTCACAAGAAATGGATTACCTTGTATAAGAAATAACTTTGTATACAATCTTAGCAATGTCTTTGTATTGATAAGGAAAGGGTGCGAGACGACACTCTGCAAATCTGTTCAAAGCTTCATTTAAAAAACAAAATTGAAAATAGAAAAATGCACTACAAAATATGAAAGAGTAAAGCTGTTAACATCCTAAACTATATTTTAGCATGCATTAGATATGTGCAAATCATATGTCTGATGTTATAGAATTCATTCTGTCCTCCAGTATCTCACAAAAGTCGTCCAAACGTAGTATTACGATAGAAATTTCACTTTCTTTATGAATTAAGTTGAATATAATGTGCAACGTTACCCTTGCATTCAGTCGATCAAAAATAAAGATCCGACTGAGTACGATAAGAATGCCGAACATCTACTGATTAAATACAATCAATATCCTATGTCTCTGAAAATAAGAAAAGGCAGGTTCAAAATATGCTGCTTCTGCAGAGTTATAAGAATTCATTTATAATTATTCGTACGCTTACTTGAGAAAATGCTGGTTTTAGTGGCAAGGATGAAAAATAATTCACTTTTAGGTAACTATAACATAAGTCCTAACTGACAATATGAGCAAGACAGAGATGATTGACAACTACAAAGTAACTAGCTACATGCTCATATCGTAGCTCGAGAATAATTAAAATCGAAAAGGATTAGCATTTGTTTCGAAAAATGTTCATATTGTTGTCTTTTAGAGTCTTTTGTCTCTGTCAATTTTCATGTTCGGAATAAGAAATTTAAATTCATTTTACCTAATACTTTGCATTGAATCTTTCGAAGAAAATACTTTACTGCAATTACATCTAAAGAATTTATGTAAAAATTTACTCAACTTTTCTAGAGCGCTGGGAATGACTAAGTTTTGTAACTTTTGCGCTTCCAATAAATCTCAAAATCATAAATCGACCTTGAGTATTACATGAAAATATAAAAAGAAAATATTGATGGATTTTAAGCTGGTCAAATCTATTTCTCAGTGTCTTAACTTCCGACAGAACTGAATGCGTATATTTTCTGGAATATAAGATGCTGCAGTTGATACGAGATCTTTCTGGATCTCTCCATTGCATTACAGCAGCAACCAGAATTTGCCTGTTTATCAGAACGTTCTCATTAATAATTATTATCACTTTTTGAACTGTGGAACATGTCACCAGAAAACTGCTACCGAAAATTTCAAACGAAACTATTTGTGCTGTTTTCTTCATGATACGATATGAACTAAGAATACAAACAAAGCACACGCGTTGTTAAATACATCACCAACATACGAGAGCAGATCAACATGATACAGAAACAATCTCTGACGAAGAGGAATGCAAACTTCTGTGCCAGCGAAGTTCAGCTTACAAATAATTTTTAGTTCATGTCTAATGCTACTCCAATAAAATTCAAGTAGCCTTTTTCTTATTTCCATCACGTCCCCCGCCAATATACAATAACTTTTCAGGATAACATACTGCTTTATCCTAAGCCGTAAGCCACATTAATATCATCTAAGTAATCAGTCAAAAGGTGGGCAACGTTGCTGAAATTGTCACAGCAGAATTCTGCTGGAATCATTAAAGTTACCTTTATCAATGAACAACTCCAGACTCAGAAAAAAGCTAATGAATACACTACACCATACAATTATCCATCAAGTGAATTATAATTGCTCTCTCGGTGACAAACTTGAAACTAGAACTCTACTACAAATGTCGAGCTACAATTGCCCTGGAATTTTTTTAGAGCAGTTTTATACTTTGAAACTCATTAGTGAGAGAGAAAACCTCTTAAATATCAAAGAGCGTGCGACTCTACTTCTCTTGATATGCAACTTCTCTCTGGAAAATAAGGTTGAAAATTTGATCTTTTTGAAAAACTACAACACTCACCTTTTTTGCACTGTAGCTAATTACCAAGAGAGGAAGACTAGTATACTTGACAGATCATTAAATTACAAATTCAAGTATATATAACTTCTCTCTGAGTAGTGAGTTTGAAAGCGAGCAGTGTCATAAACAAATGAAGGTGTGATAGTCAAATTATGAACATAACTTTTTCCTTATCAAACTCATTACCGGAGGAGAAAGACTAATGACTTTGATAGAACATTAAATTGCCAATTGAATGATATAAAACTTTTCTCTCGGCAGTGAATTTCGCAGTTACGGCAGTCCCAAACACAAGCAAGCGCACAACGGTCGAATGAAAAAATTAATTTTGTGCCAAGCTCGTTGCCGCAAGAGAAAGACTAATGCATTTGATAGGTCATTAAATTAAGAATCACACGATATAGAACTTTTCTCTTGCCAATGAATATGAAAGTGAGCATGCTTCAAAAGCATAAAAAAATTTCATAGTTAAATGTTGGGAATAACTTCTTTCCTTGCGAAACTAATTGCCGAGAGAAAAGTTTTATATCATTCAATTGGCAATTTAATGTTCTATCAAAGTCATTAGTCTTTCTCCTCCGGTAATGAGTTTGATAANTCATTCTAGAAAAGAGCTAGTATTCATTCACAAAAAAGAATAAGTAATTTTCTTTTGAAGAATGACATTGATCTGTTTCGGTGACTAACAACTACTCACATTGAATTATTTCATATTACTTCTGTGTTCAAACTATTATTGTTCATATTAAATTAATGGACAAATACATATAAAAGTGAAAAATAAGATGAAAACAGCTAATATTATTGTTTAAAATGCACCACGTGATATTTCGGTATCTATTCTCAGACACCATCATCAGACATAACCAGAAGAACAAACAATTCCATTTATATCAGATTTGAATAAATCTAATATATTACAATAATAGAGTGTATAAACACACACATGAAAATAATAATTATTAAGTGAATTACATATTGTAAAACAACTTAAAAAAGAGAAAAATAAGTCCATATATTGCTGTGTAACTTTAATTATAAATATTAAATTAATGGACAAATACATATAAAAGTGAAAAATAAGATGAAAACAGCTAATATTATTGTTTAAAATGCACCACGTGATATTTCGGTATCTATTCTCAGACACCATCCTCGAAAAGGTGGAGTCGGTTTTATTAGTCTATCTAGCTATGTTATGTCTCAATATACTATGGTGGCAATTCTTTTTGAGGACCGATATGATGGTGGGGGAAAATTTTGATTATGTTGGGCTAGTTTTGTGTTTTCTCGGTAATGATGAATAATTGAGTTGAATTGTGAGGGATGGTTTTTCAGTTTAGTTTATTTCGTGGGGTGATGAGTGGGGAGATGTTTTTAAATTGGAGTTTTGTGTTCAATGGGATATAAATTGTGATGTGTGACGCTGACGTTGGTCGGCATGGTGGAGAATGGAGATAATCTCTTTTCTTATGCGGTGTCGTTATTCTAGGAATATGTCGTTGTTTTATGTGTTTGTAATATAGTTAGGCGTAGATGGAAGCAGGTGTTGTTTTTCTATTATTCGTGATGTGCTATAGGATTGGTGGTATTAGAAGGGATTCGTCGTGTTTTGTTTTGTGTATTTTTTCGTTCTATTCCATCGGGGTATATGTAGAGTGGTATTGATCTGATTCCTTTATTCATTTCTGTCTTTTTTTGTTTTATTAACAGAGACTCTTTGATCGAAAGTTTATATTTATACCTCTCTTTTAGTCGGATCGCGAAGTCATTATTAGAAAATATATGACCTGTCGTGTCGTAATGTTTAGCAATGGCCGTTTTTGGTGTTTGTTGTCTTATTCGTTTTTCTAATATTTCAGGATTTTTCACGAGTTTGCCGATGTCTTCTTGAGTAGTTTGAATCGTTCTTGTTGGTAATTTTCCTGTTTGTGATCGCGTGATTGGTCCTTTACGTTCGATAGGTGTTTTAATTATGGATCTGGGTCGTTTGACGGTATGTTTTGATTTTTCAATTTTTTTAAAACATACATCTTGCTTTTGATAATTTAGATGTTCATGTACACGAGTTTTAAAATGGCGAAAAGTTTTTCCGATATAATGAACTTCACATTGTGGACAAGTTGCTTCGTAAACAACTCCTGCTTGCATCGGATCGGGTATCTGATCTTTCAAAGTAAAACCACTTTGTATCCGTTCTTGCACGTCATATACAAGTCTAATGTGTTTAAGTGGATAGCTCTTATTAGTAACGGAAATAATACGTTTAGCGTACACTTGACTCAACTGTCCGAAATAAGGCACACGAAGAACAACAGTATCAGTAGTTGGTGATGGTGCTGATATCGGAGTAGTAGGTGTGTATACAAGGTTAAGTTGACGTCTAATGATTAAATCTATGACGGAACTAGGATATCCGTTTCTAAGTGCTAATGATCGAATAAATTCGAATTCCTGATGTAGAGCGGTATATGACGAGCAGATCTTTATAGCTCTGTATACCTTAGTCGATAGTGCGTTATACTTATAATTTTTTGGCACAAAACTATTCCATTTAGTAATAAGACTCGTGAATGTAGGTTTTCGATAGACTCGGGTTTCGAAGCCTGCACCGGGTTGGCGTCGTACCAGGACATCGAGAAATGGTAGAACTTGCCGCTCAAGATCTTCTTTCTTTTCTTTTTGATCGTCTTTTTTTTCAGCCTCGTTTTCACTCTTGTTGTCTTTGCCTTCTTTCTCTTCGCCATTTTTTTCTTCCTTTTTGTTTTTCTTCTGGTTCTTTCTCTTTCTCTTTGTTTTTTTTTCCTTGTCGTCTTCAGCTTTTTTTTCTTTTTCGACAGTAAATTTTATCGACGGATGGTACTGTGATAGAGTATAACAAACGTCGTCAACAGAAAATTTCGGGTCGAATAATACAAAAGTATCGTCCACGTAACGCTTCCAGTAAACGATACCCATTTCTTCAGGTGATGATAAGTATTTTCTCTCGAAGTTCTGTAGAAAAATTTCAGCGAAAAGTGGAGCTAACGGAGACCCCATTGAAACTCCATCGATCTGATCATATAATTGTCCATTAAAGAGAAAATGAGATTTTTTTGTTGCTAAATCAAGTAGCTCCTTCATATCTTCTCGACTAATCGTAGGAGGTTTAGCATGACCATCATATAAATGTTTGAGGATTATATCTATTGTTTCAGTAAGTGGTACATTCGTATAGAGACTCGCAACATCAAAAGATACCATTGTGCACTCAGACATCCCAGGCAGACAAACTTTTGAGAAAACGCGTGTACACACCGTAAAATTGACTTTTCGAAGCGTTTACACGCGTTAGAAAAAAAGTGGACGTGTAAACACCCAGAATTCTCGAATTCCTCCGGTGAAAACGTTTAGTTTTTTTCTGTTGAATATTCGTAGACGTTTAAACACCTCGAAAGCTGGATTTATTGCCGTGTAAACGGTAAATGGTCCCGAAAACNCTTCGCCAAATTATTGAATTCTTTAGAAATACTACCTTCATCAAGTAGTCGGTTCAACAATTTAATTAGTTTAGTTTCTCGAGCAATTGTAGGATCATATGATAAAAACGAAAATTTAGTTGTATCATTGAGTATACTATGTATTTTCGATAAATAGTCTACTTTATCTAACAACACAACACATCTGCCTTTATCTGGGCGAGTAACCAAAATCGATTTATCGTTCTTCAAGTTCTGTAATAAACGACGATATTTCTGCTGCTCAGTATTAATTCTCTTCTGTAACTGAGCAAAACGATAAGCTTGACGACGAAATGAATCAGTTATAGAACGAAAATTGCTTGCCAAAGTCATTTCTTTTGAATCAAGAACACGAACATCAGAACCGTCAACTGTATCTTTTTCACTAACCTCTGACATCATCTTTTTATGATGTTGAGAAATATCAGTTATTCGCTGAAAAAAATTTTCAATATTAGTAACAATATTCATATCCTGAATATTTTTAGGAACAAGACCATAATCCAATCCATGGGCAAGACATTCAGTTTCATCATGTGACAATGTACGAGACGATAAATTTTTTACAACATTTCGATCAACACGTGGTACTCTTCTACGACCTGCGCGAAATGAATCAATCTTTCTTTGTAAGTTACTTTCTTTCCCATATAATACTGCATGTGACCGATTAATAATATAGTTGGAAACGTGCTGAAACACGTTGTCAGGGATATGCTTCTTTAATTCATCCAGATGATGAATGTAATTTTTTTTCAAAATACGTAGATCACGGTATTTAAAACCTATTTCAGCTCGTAAAAGACGTTGTTGACATTCTCTGTACGCAAAAGACATCGCGAGTCTTTCATTTGCAGTTTTAAACCACAAAAACCTAGGAATAAGGTCGTTCGATCGGCAATACTTCAGAAAATTTAAATCAAGTACTAACGACTGATAGCGTTCATGAGCACGTTTTGTAGAATGGTATAACATCACTGTGTTGCGACCATAATGGTAACTTAGGTAACCACCAATACTCATATTGTCAGCTAATGCCATTATCACCAACAACAACAAAACCAAAAAAAAATTATTAACACTTTCACTTACTCGAATCTTGTACTCTCGGCACTATATAGTTACGAAGAAAATCAGTGAGATGAATTAGAACTACCAAAAAGTATCTATAATAAATTCCATCAAAACTGATAAGTAAGAAAAAGACCGCACGGAATGTTCTTCTCTAACGCATATTAAACCGTGAAAAATACCATCAGAGAAGAAACGTCCATTACTAAAACATTAGCAACCAGTAACAGATATATCCATCATTAAACAGATTAAATTGCCATAGCATAACTTACAAAGATCTGAACTAGGCAACCCATCCATTCCAATCAACATTCAACTCTACACCTCCACAAACGAGAAAAAACGTTCTCGCCACTGAAAGATACTTTGCTATCATTCATTGACTTCAAAGGCTAGAATCATTCCAATTAAAAGGCATTCCATCATCTCTTTGCCAAAAAAATACTCAATGCAATCTTTCTTCTAGGAGGAATATTCCACCAAAACCCATCAGCAAAATCAAACACTCTATTTCACAATTGAACAAAAATATAAAACTACACTTCGCCCAACGACCCACCAAACTAGACAGACACAGCACCACCAACCACCTAACCCGAATATTCTATCACCCTACACCAGACCATACCACAACACCAGAACACTAACTGCAAAGCAACACTACATACATTCTACACGAAAAATTCTTTTCTGTCAAGAAACTTCCAAGAATTGGAAGTAAACTAACACTAATTTCTCAAACCGTCTATGCATTATCACTTCTGAAAAGAAAAACGTTCGATTACATCTAATATAAATGGAATTGTTTGTTCTTCTGGTTATGTCTGATGATGGTGTCTGAGAATAGATACCGAAATATCACGTGGTGCATTTTAAACAATAATATTAGCTGTTTTCATCTTATTTTTCACTTTTATTATTGTTCAAAAGAAGTGAATCAAATCGTATGGATCACGAAAACAAAATGGATAAAGAAATGTACTAATTCTATTTGGAAGAGGAATATTAAATNTGCTAGCTTCTTTTTTCTCTAATTTTATTTAAATAAAACAATAATCTTAAAATCTAAAACAAGAAGAAGCTAATTTAGTTGTTATCAACTGAGAAAAAAATTCGAATCTCTCTTCTACATTTATTCGCAATATTGACAAAGATATTATTTAATGTCTTTTCTGCATAAAAAGGATGAATAAACAAACAAAGGAAAAGATAAATCAATGTTATTTTTCTATAATTAATGTGTGATGGTATACATTCGACTACGTTGTCGATTATATTCCCGTAATTGTTCAATTGGACCTTTAAAACAAAAATAGAATTTTTTTTAGAAAGAAAATAAATTTTAAATTAATAATAAATAAACTAACCAACAGCAGCTATAGCTGGACAATGATTGTAAACATATTGTTTCATAGCTGTCATCACTGTTTTGCCATCAACAGCCTAAAAATATTTTTTATTTATAAATTTTATTTTTCAATAATAATCAATAATTACATCAATTCGTGCATTAAGTTCATGTAATGGAATTCGTCGACCATATGACAGTAATTGACTAAACAAACAACACTTATCGTTGATTTAATGTTAAAGAAAAAAATAATTTTAAACAAACCGTCCAATATCTTCACAAATTGGTGTTGATCCATCAAGTGTTGTTAACAGATTTGTTTTAAGTAACTTCTTAGCTCGTTCTACTTCAATATCAGTACATGCTGTTGCAATACGACACCTTCATTAATAAGAAAAAAAAGTATAGAAAACAATTAATTAAAGATAAATTTAAAATAAAATACCATTCATCTAATAATGCAGACATAGCGTCATCAATTCGCATTCTATCAGTAACTAAATAAGTTCCCCATAATCCAGTATCAGTATAACATGTATTAAATGATTGATATGAATGACATAAATTATAAGTAACGGATTGTTGACCAAGACGTGCAGCGACATGACCACGACCAGCCATTGATCTATTCAATTCAATTAATCGTTATCAACTTTTCAAAACAAAACTTTATGAACTTATGTTTCATTAGATAAGACTTTCAGAATCTACTCTGTATATGCCCATACACTTATGGAGAAATTTTAGGAGAACTGTTGTCTACATGAAATGCATTATTGATTTTTCAATAGGGAACAATCTAACTGTTTTTTGTTTAATTCTTCTCACTATTCATGCATATGTTTTGTTTTACTTCCTTATGTCCCACAAATGTCGGCAATATTTTAGCATTTCATTTGCTTCTATCGCTATTTAAGTTAACGTTTGCTTTTTTTTTCTTATACGCAGCAAACAAACTGAGACGAAATCATTGAAGAAAAGATAACAAGTTAAAAAGTTCGTTATCTTGATAATCGTTAATCTAACCTATCACTCTCATCAGTAAATTGAATGATTCCGCGAAGATTTTTAGACAACTAATATTATTTTAGAAGAAAAGTGAGCAATATTTAAAATGAAAACTTTTAAGCTTTGTTTCAGGTATGATAAATCGTTTTTGAAATGATCAAGTCTCAAAATTATTATCTTCTCAGTACAGCTTCGAGATCTTGGAAAACATTTTTCGAAATTAATTTTTCCGAAAAAATTATGATCATTTTTTTTAATCATCATTATTTCCTAACGAATCAATATCTTTTCAAAACCTACAAAACTAAATAGACGAACTTAATTAAATAGAACGCTCGACATATAAACAAAGGCATATTAAAATGAGTAATAATTACCGATCCCATTGACCAACAATAGTCGATGCAACCATCAATGGAATAGTATCAGCATGAGCCCAGCCTGTACTTTCAACGGCAACAGCAATATGAGCTAATGGCATTTCATCATCACGAACACGAATTTCACTACCCGAAAAACTAATAAAAAACAAACAAAATTTATTGATAGAAAATCAATGAAATAATTTTACCGGCATGGTAAAAGATCAGGTACTTCTCCTTCATAACCAGCTTTTAATTTTCCAAAATGTTCTTCACTTAAACGAACTAATTGATCATGATTAACACCACCGGCAGCAGTTAAAACCATTCGTGGTGCTTTATAATGTGTTCCAACATATTTAAGTAAATCAGCTTTTTTAATAGATCTCAAAGATTAAAACAAAAACAAAAAAAGTAAAATTAAATATAAAAATTTATTGAATAAATTTACTTAATATTATCTGTAGGACCAAGAACACTTCTAGCTAATGGTGTACCTTGATAAGCAGTTGCATGTAAATGATCAAAAGTAACATCTTGAAGATTATTTTCAATTTCTTCCATTTCACGTAAAATTGTATGACGTTCACGTTCAATTTCTTCTTCGTTAAATTGACTATTTTGAATAATATCCGATAAAATTTCAACAACTATCCATATTCAATATTAAATAATAGAAAACAAAGATAAATAAAATTACTTTGGGGTAAATCTTTGCTAAAACATTTCGCATAATACGCAGTTTGTTCTCGTGATGTATAAGCATTTAGATGTGCACCAAGATTTTCAATTTGAACTTCAAGATCCCGTTGTGTTCGTTTATTTGTACTCTGTAAATTAATTTTTTTATATTGAATATAAAAACAAAAACTTTTAATATGATTACTTTGAATGCCATATGTTCAAGAAAATGAGCCGTACCATTATTTTGTGCTGTTTCAAATCGACTTCCAGCATCAATCCAAACACCAACCGTACATGTTGGAATTCCATAATCTTCTGATGCAACACGTAAACCATTTTTAATTGCTGTTACACGAGTTTCAGGAACATTTAAAAGTGTCTGTTCAAATGTTATTGTTGGATTTGTTTGTAATGCTGTTGTTGCATTACGAAACTAGAAGAAAATTATAAGTTTAAAATTATTAAAAAATTAAAGATTTACTGATGATCGAGCAGTATAACGACCAGCTCCATGGAGAAGACTTCGAAGAAGCATGTTCTTAGGTTATTTTATCTACAAGATGAAAAATATTTGGCAACTATCGATCGAGAAAAAAATTATATATTTTTTTCGACCATGTTGAAAACGAAATATGTAACGACCTCTATAAGAAAATTTATTAAATATTCGAGAAAATGTATTGTATTGAAAAATTGATTGCAAATTTAAATATTGCCGCAGGTCTAAAGTATTATTTTTAAATTGTCTTAGCGACATTAGCAACGCTAGTTAGATTCAATTGGTTTAATTACAATATCCATCTGAATGTGCCTATACAACCTCGAATGATTTATGCTAGAAGACATCTATCTTTACGTTTGCTAATGTAATTGAAAAGTAGCGTCATCTGTAAGAAAGAGATTATCTTTTTTTTTCTCCTATAACTGAATTAGAAACCATTTTAAGATGGCTTTATCACATAAAGCTTCTACCTTCAACATCTCATTATGTGTACGATTCGTTTTGATTTATCTTTTAGTACCGAATAAATTTATAATCATAATTTAGTAGACTTCTTATACAAATGAAGTTTAAAAGTATGCTAATTGTTAATCGCGTTGTTTTCAAAAAAATATTTATGAAAGATGAATTTTACGTTTAAATGAAATTGGTTTAAAATACTTGAGCAAGATATATTGATCGTTAATAAAGGAAGTGAACATGTTTTGAATTAGATTTGCTGACTAATGTACTTCATATTTCTCTGTAGAAGAAGCTTGTTTGATGTTTCTCATTTAAACCATATATACTGTTTCATATCGTGCTTTAATTACTATCACTTTCGATCATAATATTATTATTTATATATAATTTTGATTCATAAAAGTTTTTTTTTTGAAACAAGTGACAGAAATGACTAGAGAAAACATTTTCTGCAATAATCGACAAGAATATTTTAATGAACTACGTTTATTCTATTTTCATCATTCGTTTTTTTTTTCATTTCATATATACGCAAGATTAGAAATTAAAGAGAGTTGAATTTATGGTATTCATGAAAAACTTAATATCACATGGTTACCAGCATGAGAGTTCTAATTATATCATAACAACAATACTTTTTTTTAATGTCAAGAAATTTTATTTCGATGATATTTATAAATATGATAGTTTAATAGATTTTACAAAATAATTCACAACAATTTTGCTAGACTTTTTTTTTTTATTAAACATAATAGAATAAGTTTTATCGACAAATCATTTTTCGAATGATAAATTGTCGAAAATTCATCAAAGTTTTTCGAAAAACATTTCCACCACTTAAAGTATTAACATAAAATTGCATTCCGAATGCAAAATAAGTCATAAGAAGAGCAACTTGATAAACAAAATCTTCAATCGTCATTTTTAATTGAGATTTTTCAATATTCATCGTTAATGTTGCATAAAGTTTTTGAATAGCTACAGGAAAAGTTAGAAGAGAAAATAGAATTACTTGAATGAAAAGCATAATAAAAAGATGATGATCTATTTTTTTAAATCGTCGTCGTTGATGATGACTGTCTAATTCCAAACGACCACCTACCACATTAAGTCTAATAGCAGGTTTAATACGATTTTGACTTGAACGAATATTTGAGATAGTCATCCAACCAAATATTGAAATTAATATAAGAGGTAAAAGAATCGTAATAATAGCAAATGATAAATCATTTATTAATCGACATATTGTATTTTTATTGAAACATTTTAGAGGTGTATTATTCAAATCTGGTTCATAACAATAAAGAAGTTGACAATGAAAAATTAACGATAAAAGTGTTAAGAGAAAAATACTGCGTAAAACATTTTTATATGAACTTGAATGTCGAAAATGTACATTAGTAGATGATATAAGCCATCGATCAATAGTAGCTAACATAAGTAACCAAAACGTTAATGATCGAAATGCGAATAAAACGAAACCACGAAATTTGCAAATCCATCTAACAGAAGCTGATATATCAGCATTCCAATTAGACATTATTCGAGAAGTAAGACCCGATAGAATGGTGATTGTACCAGCTATTGACGAAGCAAGCAAGATTAGAGCACATGTATTTGAACGAAGAGGTCGTTGAGATAAAATTAGAATATTGAGCATATTTCCCACAATACCGAAGAAAAAGACCAAAGTTCCAAAATAAAAGTTTATTTGAGAGACAATAATCTTTAGATATATAATAAGTTCTGCGTCCGATCTGGGTGATGACATTGAATTGTTTGATGAATAGTTAGATTGGAAAGCATGCCCTTCCTCGTTCATATCGAAATAAATAGTGCTTCTATTAAAGATAGACATGCAGAATCCTGGAAACAGTTATTATTAACAGTCAAAAATATATACAACATAATTAAGACAACAGATATTTTTTGTTTTTTTGTTGCGGAAAATGAGAACTCATATAGCTGCATTTTTATGTCATACAACGTATTCTCCTTGGATATTAATTCTTTTTGCCTCACTAAATCAAAAACTAATCCGATGGCTCCACATTGACAGATTTAATCATACATGTCTAGAACACGAATGATATTTAAAAAGAAAAAGAAAGTACTGATATAAAAGTTTTCATATATATTAATTTCTTTTGTAAAAAAGAAATTCAGAAAAGATGTCTTGCAGAAACTCTTTTACCTATTAAATTTTAGTTAAACAAAAGAGGAATTGAATAGACTAAAAGGCTATTTTCATCAGGAAGAACTCGTGCAATTGGAATGTTCCTCTGAATAAGCAAAGAACGAGTCAAAGAACTAGTGTTTTTCTACTCGTGGTGGTATGTCTTTCTAGCAACAAACTGGAAGAGTAGCTTATTGTTATCTTCGGCTGTGATGTTTATTTAGCTACTTCACACACAACACACACTTACATAGGAGACAGCAAGAGAGAGATGAACACAGAAAAGAACAATAGAGAGATAATGAAGAGAAAAGGAAGATCAGCAGGAAGTGATATTAATATCGGTATAATCTCGTTTAGTCTTTTTTTTTTCAAAAATTCATGAATCCTTCCATTAAATAAAAGATCCCAGGTGTTCTATTGGAATTAATCTTATAATGTGATTTCCTACACAAAGGATCCATTATTTTTATAACATTTTAATCAGTTCGCTATGATTATGTTTCAAATAAAATGTAGAAATACTAAAGAAATGAAAACAAAAAATTATCTACAATTAAATTTCACTTTTTCATAAATTGATCTAAGCTGATTTCTTTCACATCTTTATTGTTAATGATATTTAATAAATATAAGCACTTATTTTCTTCCACCATCGTTTTCTTTTTATTATATTCTTCTTTTTTCTTCATTGTCATCATCATTGATTGTCGAATAAGTTACTGTTGATGATCAAAATGAATCCTAGTGAAGTATCGGAACTCATTACGGCAATACAGACTATTTCAATGTAAATTGTTTACGATTGAATATTCTTCTTAGTAATTCAATAGAATATGTGTCTAATAATATCCTGAAATGATATGAAAATGAAAAAATAAATGAACCTTTTTTGTTTTTGATTTGTCCATTTGTTTTAATTATACTGACTTTTTCGATTAAACGGGTTATTTTTATTAAAAATCAGTAGAAAATTTGAGAACATCTGATTTCACATATTTTCTCCTTGCAAATTTTTTTTTTTTTGCTCTGCTTTGCATAATTTCTGTCTCGTCAATTGTTATTTCACCACCAAATATAGCAACAATATCATGCATATCTATATCATCAACATATTCTCCATCGAAAACAGCATCTATTTTCTTTCTATTAATCGATCAGGTCTTGTTTCTATTTACTTTGATCAAATATATTGAGGAAAGTCTAACATTTCATTCACATAAGCGAAGATCAACACCTTCAATCGATAATTTACATTTCCTACAAATAAAACTCGCACACTGTTTAGCTAAAATCGAAGCTTCAAATGAAATATTCCATAGCATATTCATCATTTTCATAAGACTTTTTTCATTATGGATTCTGATAATAAAAGCTTTCTTATGAAAACTGCTAACTGCAAAACAGACAGTTCGCTCAAATAAGAGACAGTTTCACCTCATTGTCTGTAACGATATGAATAGATGAGAGAACACTTAATGTTCATTAGTTGTTTATACGACAATGTCTCAACGAAATATTTTGTTTTTTTAACCTGACTGATTGCAGATTATTGAATTATTTTCAATGGATTTACCAAGAGATCGTTTGTCTCGTAACTTTGAAGATTCTCATAGAGTATTTCTAATTTTCGAAGTATATATTTGGTTCGACAAAACCTTGTAATCTTATAACATTGAAATAACTCCTGGAAAAACGATTTAATTTGATACTAATTTTTAGTTAAACAAGACTTGTAACATGGATCAAAAGATTTAATTGATATCGAATCAAAACAAAATTTTTTCTTTTCAAAAATTTTATTCAATTCTTTCTTCTTTGTTGCTAGTTAGACAGGTAAACTTAGAAAAATGAATGAGTAACAAAGAAACAACTACATGTGAATTAATAATCGACGAACAGATTGTGAACGTGACCGACAATCGATTGATAAAAAGTCTAGTCAATATCGAGTCAATAACTACGAATACATTTTAATGTCCATGGTATGTTCAAAATGCAAGGGAATACCGAAATAAGTAAACTGCTGTTGACATTTTATCTAGATACATTGTTTTCTGTATCGCTTTTCACCGAGAGATAATCCACAATGTTAAGTAAAAAAATTAATACATCATGATATTTTATTATATGACTATTATTATCATCGTGATGAAAAATACTTTTTATCTTGCAGAAATATTTTATCAAATTGACGCTTGTAAATAAAGTTTGAAGCATTAACTTTATATAACTCGAGCAGTTGTTGGCTTCAAATTCCCATTATCATGTATAGTGATTACGAACAAAATAAGGAATAAAATGAGACAAACAATTCCCGCTGATCATTTTGAAACGAGACTGCTTCAGTTGATGGATGAGGGTGAGGGTGGGGATCAAGAGAAGGTCAACACTCACACCCACATCTCCAAGAATACATTTTTGGCTTTTTTTTAATAAGAAACAAATAAACATGAATAATTTCGTGACAGAAGAAAATTTCAAGCAAACTGTAGGGGGAATTCGAAAAAATCAAAGCATAATTCTAAATTAATGAATATTTTGTTATTTTAAAGGAAGGAGTGCTTTTTATTTGGGATTATATTTTTAAACAAATAACAACAAAAAGTAAGGCCATTTTTGTGGCTCTTCTGAATCACGACAAGAAAGACATGAATAAATTGGTAATGGGCACTATTCTAACCCCTCCTGAAGGTGGGCGAGGTTATCTTTCATGCCCTTGAGATCGATCTCCAATACTGCGTACGGTGACATGAAGTAGATTAAATTTCGTCTTGCTGTTGATCGATTCTTTTCGACCTTCTAGGTCAATGAATACGAATTTCATATATGCCTGTAAACGACCATACACGATCACGATACGACCATATTTCGACAGGTGGCATGGGTCACTATTACCATCGTATATGGCTTCATCGCAGATGACATGGACATGTATGATCATATACTGAAACATATAAATAGCTGTATATCTCCGTATTCAGTCGTTTGCGACCGTGCTCATTTGACCTTGACTGTTAACCGATTGTGGCGTCCTGTTGATGGATTTTTTCGACCTGTCGATGATTTTCGTCAACTAATGAGCGCACTGTTGTTGGGTGTGGTGGTGTCTAGGCAGCCTGAAATAAAGACATAAAAAGAGTCTATAGAACAATGAAGAAAAGGTTTCATAGTCCCATATATATGGTGTAGCTGTGAGTATTTCTCAAAAAGGAGAAACAACCACACTCATTGTAACGATTCCTTTAGTTTATTATCCAAAAGAATGAGCTTCTTCTCTCTGTCCACTTCTTATATAGCGAGAATCGTCCAAGGGAGAAAGAGAAAGAAACATCAATCCATAGGATAAGAACAGACCACAGCAAACAAAAAACAAGAGAGAGCATATGATATGTGTATATATATATGTGAGTAAGAGAACGTTCGACACGTTGAGTTACGTATTGGTGATATCGTCATTAGCGTAGTTATGCGCTAAGACAAATCATGTGATGAAGCTTAATGGCATAATGAGTTTGATCAGCCCATGCGAGCTATCATCACAAACGATGGTGATATAATGTATGATGTATAATGAGTTTATGCTAGAGTGTTACACTCATATCCACACCTTTTCTACAGATAATCTATTTTCTTCATTATTTTTGATAGCAAAATCTTCAACATTGCTTGTTAATAACATACCGTTGTTATAATGCTACTGCAAACACGTAATATTGAGGTCACGAAAAATATTTTCGTCTTGTAAACAACTTTTCCAAGTTCATGTCTATGCACCCACTATTGATTCTTCATGCTTAGTTGTGCCTAAAAATGATGTCTTCGCAGATCAAAATACGCATTCTTCGCGTTTCTAATCATTATACGAAATAAATTTAAGTAAATAAGTGTAGGGACTACTTGATATGATGCCGCTCAAGTGATGCACTGAACCAAATTAATGAAAGTCACAAGTTTCAGTATAGTACTATTCATTGCCAAAAGCAGTGCATCATAATAGAAACGATATCCTCATCAATCGTTATCATTTAATGCTTGCGTCATCTAAAAAAATCAGCCATGTCAAGAAAATCTGCTCTACAGATTATTCAGTGTTTTAAGGACAAAAGCAAACAAAATGTTTGTGTACTTAATTAAAATTTACATCATAAATATCTAAAAGAAATCATTTGTTTAAACAAACGATTAAAACAGACATTTTTTAAACCTGTCACGATTATCAAAGCAAAGAAAACAAAATCTTAAAGAACTCTGTGTAGATTTAGTTTATAAAAATTCTAAAGAAAATCATTTGTTTAAATAAATGATGAAACAATTTTTAAGAAAAGTTTTACGAATTTTCGAGAAAAAAACCAAACTGTTTCACACTTGATGTCAATTGAGTCTATGAAAAATCTTTAAAAAAATTTCAATTATATGTGAAACTCAAAGATTGTGTTTGGTGAAAAATGTCTTTTTACAGAAGGAATATATATTCAGAACTTCATGATTAATGAAATCATTCAATTAGTAGAAGACAAGAGACATCGATGGTTACACGCTACAAGAAAATTCGTTTCGTTCTATTTGTTACCCACGTGTGTTATCGAGGAACGAGGAATAGACAAGCGAATTGATCAGAAGGCATCACTTTTCATAAGCAAAATAAATGAAAAGACATTTATGCATAATTTTCACTGATATAGTTGACACACTTTACGTGTATTAATTTAAAGAAAAATTTCATATTGGAAATCAAATAGAAGGGCCCGTAAAGTTAAACGATATGGATGCAAAGTGAGTTTTGTAGTGCAGTTGTTATATGGTTCGAGATTGTTGTTTAGAAAATGAGTGCTGAACGCAATACAAGAGGAATTCGAGTAATGATTTGAGCAACATTATATGTCATTTTGGTGACTGAGGAAAATTAAAGAGCATATCTCTCGAAGTAATGAACTTTTTTAGATGCAATTAGGAGCCTTTATATGTATGTTAAGACATTCTAGATATCTGATAAAGTCAGCTCTAGAGATTTTTATTCGGAAAATTTATTACTTGAAACAATAGTGCTAGCGATATGATGGACTTCGAATAGTTAAACGAAAGCAAGCTCTTATAACTGAATGAAAAGTTAAAAATCAGTTCGAAATAGGGTTGGGTGTGTCTAGTCATTTCTGAAATGGAATCGAGTTCACGTCATTTCGCATCGGTATCGAGTCGAGTCAATCTATTTTCGTGATTGTTTCGTTTTATTTTTGTATACAAAGAACGTTAACAGCAAGTTTTTCAGTAAACGAGTCTAGATCCTAGCTTTTATGTAAAAAAACCTAAATAGGTTATACATAAAAGAAATAGCATAAATGCTCGAGATTAATCAACAAAATAAGAACAGTGACATCAACTCTTTTATTTTGTACAGCGTCGCATCATAGCAAAGAAAATATAATATTTTTGTAAATAAAAATTTTGATCTTAAACTTGTTTACAAGCAAAAATTATTTATAACCATTTAAATTAAATGCCTTACTACACTTTAAAGATGTTCAAATAGAAATGTTAACTTTTGTAAAACTTGAAGAATTCGATCTCATCGAAGATCACATTGGAAAAACATGTTCATCTGGTGCTGCTATGGCAGGAACACGTCATTTTTCTAGCAAGTTTATTAAAGGATCGATATTAATTTCTTTTTAAATAAGAGAAAGGATGTGGATGATGAGCAGATCATACACTCACGGCCACACTCTCTGTTGCGAAAATAGATAATGTGGCATAAATGATAGAAAATTTTGATGATTAAAATCTTGTCACATAACAGTTATATTTTAACGTGATAAAGAATATCACGTTTGGCACAATGCAAAGTTTTCATTACTCTTATTTCATATACGATAAGAGAAAATTTAATCTTATAAATTAAGATTTTTTTTATAAGAGCAATTGAAAACTTTTTTGAATAAAAAACTCAGATGGCTCGAGTTGAACTGTCGAGTCACGATTTGAACTCATTCCAGATTTAGTTCAAACGGTTAAAATCTTTCTTTGGAATCTCCAGATAGCAATACAATAAAGATTTTTATTTCGGAACATGACTGGATCTCTAGAAGATCGATTTTTTACAGGAAACTTTCTCGAGTCCTATCTTGCTGAAGATTTCACCGTATATATAGTTCAGGCTGTAGAAGCTATCCTGACTGATGTTAGTTTTGGATTTTTTTCACACATTGCCAGAGACATATACGCTTATTAGTTTTCAATTACTTAATTAATTATTGATAAATAGATGTCAGCTGATAGAGCCAACATTTTTACATACGCCTATACTAAAAGAACTTATTCTGAAATATAATTCTTGAAAAGAATCAAATTCAAATGAAACGAAGATATATCCCATTTTTCTTGATAGTATCTTTATAGTTATTTCTTGCTTTGTCTATCTTTTTTTTCAGCCTAATCCGTAATATGAGATATAAATATTTTAAACATTGACTTAAACTGATATGAACTAAGAAAAATTTTGCTTTTGCCAATAAAAATAGATTATTAAAGTAAAATAGATGTGTATTAGTATTATGGAAATCAATTGTCTCATAACAAAATAAAAACGTCCAACAGAAAACATTTTACAGCGTAATTATGAGTAAGAATTCGATCGAGTCACCTTACAAACAATTCTCACTGATTCCTTAAATGACAGCTACTACAACTTTCTTTATATTGAAATCAGTTGTATTAATAAATTGGCTCATAAATATAATACTCTAAGACAACATGAGTCTTATACATTGGTAAGAATAATGTCGGTCCTGTATCGTAATGGCAGTGATTTTTCGAAATATACTTTCAATACCGACGCAATGTTTTTCATTGTGGCTCGCATGAACAGAGTTATTAGTTATTTTTTCACCTATCATGTAATTTATGTGTATCATTTTTTTCTCTTATAATAAGAATTCTAAAAAATTACGAAGTAGAAGGGAAGCGGCAGGGAAGAGGATTCTATTGTATCTGTTGCTTATACTTGATGCTAAAATTATTCTTAAAAACGGAAAAAATAACAGCTGCAAGTATTCTTTGTGTAAATTGTCGAAATCAAAGTCATATGCATTCCTAAAAATACTTGTAGAATTTGTGTGTACATTAAGTAATTAAAGAATGAGCCTGGAAAGTTAAGAAAAATCTATTTATTGATACATGTAACAGGAACACATAAGTACAATATTTATGGCATGAATTGAGTGTCGCGTAACCATTTTATCCATCTGACTCCATCAATGAAAACATTTTCTCTATATTTCTATATAAAATAAATATCAACAATGATAGATACGAATGGTTTTCGTTTGGTAATTTTTTTAATAGAACAAAAATTTGACCTTAGTCATTCTATTTAATGTATGATATATTTGCTCTTTTATTTTATTGATATCACAAACAACCAAAGATGACATCTATCGATAGAACAACTTATTTCGTTATTATAATAATAGCCAATCAACATCAATATAATATAACCTGTGCTAGCACTCAATAATTCTCATTCGAAATAAATTAGATCGTTCCATCTTGTTAGTAGAGTTTGCAAATTTCCGCACTGATTTTTCCTGTCCACTTATTTTTGGATAAAATCGATCAATACTAAGCGACAGAAAATGTTTAATTTGTTCGATTCTTCAGTTGCTGTGATCAACAAACTATTGAAAATTACTGTCAGCTTAAGATATTATTAATAAAAACAATAATAAGAAGAAAAATATGGAAATTATCCTAAGATTTATAATCGATATGACTTAAGTTATTCATAGTTTCATTCTTATGAGTATATTTGATGTTTTTCATTGATTCTAGATAAATGTTTCGTCTTGTCGCTACACGTATTATATCTACTGGTAGGATACAAATAAAATCTCCAGGATGTTTATCTTATTCATCTCGTCGTTTTCTACAAAGTTCTGGATCTCAATCGAATGAACACTCTGTCATCTCGACAACTACATCAGTTGATACAAAGAAAAGTGAATCATCTAGTCAAAAAAAGTATGTTTCTTTAACCACGAACAATATTTTCATGAGAGTTCTCATGTGTATTTGTAACCAAAAATTATATTTTTTGTTTGTTTTAGTAGATCATCATCTTTGCCAAAGATTTATACTCGCAAAGGAGATCGAGGTACATCAACTCTATTAAGTTCTGGTCCGAATCGTTTATCAAAAGATTCATTAATATTTGATGTACTTGGTACGATTGATGAACTATCATCAACAATTGGTATTGTTATTTCAACTTGTTCTTTACCTGGAATATCAGAACATTTAGAAAACATTCAATGTGCTCTATTTGAAATTGGTTCATGTGTAGCTGCTGAAAATCGTTCACCTCGTTTTGCATTCAATAATGTCGCATCAATAAAACATTTAGAAGAACAAATTGATATAATGACAAACGAATTACCGGCATTACGTCGTTTTATTTTACCTGGTGGTTCTAGTCAGACAGCATCGTATGCTCATTTTTCAAGATCGGTCTGTCGTAGATCTGAACGTTTATTAACAAAGTGGATGAAGAATCAAACTGAAGAACAACAAGAAACAGTCATGGGAATTTATTTAAATAGACTTAGTGATTATTTATTTACATTAGGACGATATATAGCATTTAAAGAAGGACATAAAGAAATATTATATCGCAATAGCAAATAAATAAATAAATAATTAATAGTGCTTGTTTTTATTTTAGATGTCATCTTTGAGTTTATTCGTATCTCGTCTACGTTTTCCTCTCTTTCGTCGTTATTTAGCAACACAAACATCAAATATTAAAACACGAAATGATTTACCTTCGAATTTACAACAGCCAACTGATCCAACAGTGATGCCATTACTTAATCCAAATGAATTATCAGAAGCTGAACAAATTTATATAAAACGATTTGAAGAACGACATATGAGAAATGTTGAAAGACGTACACGAGAACGACGACGAGCACGAATTATTGGTTTATCATTTGGAGCTTTAGTTATTGCTATTTATATTTATACAATTAAACGTGTTCGACAAGAAACATTTTTGGATGATTTTGAAGTACCTGAACCACCACCTCAAAAGAAAGCTACTGAACATGATTAAATTGTTCTTGTTTTTTTTTTAAAAGTTTTTCATTAAAAATAAAATTTAGTTAACTTCTATCAATTTTTTTTTATTTTGTCTTTTTCAAACCTTATTTTTTGCAGAAATCCTTAAGCAAATGAAATTATATCTATGAGATTGTTGTTTTTGTTAATCTCAAATAGTCTTTCATCAGTTATAAAAATTTATTTTAATAAATAAAACTGTTACTAAAGTTACGACACATAGGTAAAATATGCTGTTTTAAAAGAACATAAAAGAGTGTATATAAACTATGATAAGAACAGATTCTCTACTTCGACAGTATAACCACGATTGAAAAAAAAATGACATTAATCGATGAGCTTTTACAGTTTTGTTTGTGACCCTATTTTGAATATTGATTTGTATTGATATTTTAAATTAATAAATCGAAAGTAAAAATTGAACTAAATCAGTCTGTTGCTAAAACATGGATTTAGACATTTATACAAACACTTTTCATTAAATGATATGATTTTGTATTTTGTAAGAATCTTTTCTACTCTCTTTCTAGATGAAAAAGGTGCATTCGAGATAGATATCTACAATGATAATCATAAGTATATCAATTGATAAGAAACATCTTTCGACTTAAGTCTTAACTATATGTTTTAGAATTGCTACATGATGAAAGTTTTTCTTATTAAGATAAATACACAGCATCAGTTTTCTTAACTGGACTTATGTCTGATGTAAAAGTTTTAGAATAGATGTTGTTCTGTGTTTTAATCAAACCACAATCATTAACTTGATTGATGAAATGTTCCTTGAGAACTAAAAATTACTAGAAAAGTGCCTTGGAAAAAAAACTTAACTATTGCATACAGTTTACCAAAGAATTTCTTCATATTTTAGATTGTATTAATTATAATGTTTCAACTAACATTATGCATTTTGAAACCAGATATTGTTCGATCACCTCATTTGTTTAATGTATGTGTAAAATGAGGTAATTTTTTGTGTTTACTATGATATTTTTGTTATGAATAGTGTTTTCTATTAGGAAATAATTAAGTTGATACTTCAACGTCAATTTATTTTTATTAAAAGTAAACGTTTACAGTTAAGTCGCGAACGAGCTGGAGAATTTTATCGTGAACATCAAGGTTGATTTCAAATTATTTTTATTTTCTATTTTAATTAATTAAATTTATTTAGAAAAATTTTTCTATAGTCGACTTGTTCATTATATGAGTTGGTACGTTCGTGTTTTTTTTTTGGTTCCTATTAAATGTCAAGAATTTTTTTTATTAATTTAGTGGACCAATATCATGTCATATACTTGGACGAGAAAATGCTATACAAGAATGGAGATCAATACTAGGACCAACAAAAGTATACAAGTAATAATTTTATGTAAAACAAATGAATTATTTTTCCTCATATTTGTTTTTAGAACAATATTTGAAGCAGCAAATACAATAAGAGGTCAACATGGTGTAACTGATACAAGAAATTGTGGTCATGGATCAGGTACAGAGATGATCTATTTTATTTTATTATGTTCTTTTATATATAAAATAGATTCAATTGAAACGGCTCAACGCGAAATAAATTTTTTCTTTCCTGAATTTGATATGAAATCAATATCGATATATGAAAATATTTCAGTGAACAAATTGATGTTTAACAAAGACACTCTGGTACATCAATTATAGTTTTGTTGTATTTGAATAATATAAAAAAAAGAAAACAAATTTTTTTTTTATTTTATTTAAATAATCTAAAATATTAATTCAATCGGAATATTGTCATAGATACTCTGCATAGACATACTAAATAGGATTAACACGCGTAAGATTATTCTGCATAACTTTATTTTGAATTTTATCTTTAAATTTCTTATGTTTCTTCTCATGATGTTCAACCAAACATGAATAAAGGTGAGAGTGTTAGTCTTATCTTCATGTCCATTCACACCTACATCCATTGCTTTAGCTTTTTTAATTGTTCGGTGCTTATTGTTCACTAAACCTATAAACACGATATCTTTTTCCATCATATGGCTGAATTTGTGTTGTTGTATCACCAGTATCAGTTTCAGAAACATTTTTCTGAATAATTTATTTGTAGTTTTACTTTTTATTCTTGTTGATGGTAAACGAAAAAATTCTTAATTTTGATCTTCCATATAAAGAACTCTAGTTTGAGTAGCTAATTTTTATTAAGATTTCATCTTTGTAATAAATTTATTGAAGATCTTCAAATGAATCAATATCGTGTTCATTGATTCGTTTATCAATTCCTTTGGATAACTTGATTTAATGTATGAATAATATAAGAAGACTTTCATTTCATCATGTCTAAAGTAAAAATAGAAGAAAAAAAAAAAGCATGAAAATGTTTTCGTTTCTGTCAGATCTTGATTATTGAAATGACGAACTCACAGAAAAACATTGATTGTAACAAGAAGTACTTTGAAACCATACTGAGCTTGAATCGAATATTTTTCTCCTTCGTCCAAATTTTCGTGTTTATAAAATTATTTTTTATTATTTATGATACTTTCCTTGAAGTTTTAACTTAGAATAAAACAATGACATATTAATCATTTACTCTTTCAGGAAAATCTTAGAAAAATAAGAAACAAATAAAAAGATAAAGCATCATGGACATTTGATGAACATGAATTTAATTTAATATCGCCAGAAGAAAAAAACACAATCATTTACTAAATTAATCGAAGTTAATTTAATTGAGATCTATGAAAATGAAGCAAAACAGTTAACTGTGTCTGAAAAAGGACATAGTATAGATAAACTTTGTTGAGTTTTTTGATAATCATTAAATCAATATCCGAGAGATTCCTTCTATATGATAAGGACACTATATTTTAATATTTATAATCAAAAGGATCATATAATATATTTATCTATCATATAGATATAATAGAAACAAGAATAAAAGCATTAACAAAAATGATCAACAAATTCATAAATATAATGTTGAAGGTATCGATTCTATTTTTCTTATGTTACGTAAATTCATTAAATTTTGTTGTCTTAAAAAACACCATGGAATAGTTTTATCGTTCGAACTATTTGAGCAACGAAAACCATCAATATCATATTTTATTTTATTCTTTCAGAATGGAATAGATCTATATTTGTCACTTACGAATCATCTCTCTATTAATATACGCTATTCGTCAAAACATCGAAAATTAAACTTCGAGATTTATTTATATGTGTTTTCTTTTTTTGGAGAATTTCAAAGTCAATTAATAGTTTTTTATAATAATTCCATTAATTATATTTTTAACGAGATAAAGTATTAACACAGCAGTCTACTTCTCTTTACGTATCTCTAAATATATCTACCCTCGAATTTTTCTCTCTTTGATAATGTCTCATTAAACATTCGTATTGTACATTTTTCGAAAATTTTCACTTTCAAATGTAGAATAATATCTTGCAAAATATCTGCTAAAAAAAAGATTTTTTTTAGATAATATTTTTAATTTATTTGATTTCCTCAATCAATAATATCTTAAATAGTTTTATTATTTTAATTGGTCAAATAAAAATATTCGTTCTTTTTTTTTTTGTTCTCTGACTTATTTTTTTTTCTCTTTTTGATCTTACTCGTTCATTTTATGTATTATTATGCAGCTAATATAATCATTTTTTTTCTTTTTTTCAACGCTATACGATACACGCGTTGTCTGTTTATATAACCCATATAACATGTGCAGATCATTATTGTTGTTTTTTGCTTGATGAGAAAAGAAAAGAATTTGATAAAAATTTTAGATGAAATGATTTTTGTTTTGTCAAGTTTTGTTTTCAGATCATTTTTTTCTTCGTTTCGTACTATGGCTTCAGCTGTGCCAGTTCAAACTCCAAATGTAGCACAAAATCTTGATAAAAATGAACTTTATTCAATTGGTCCTCATTTTTGGAATGTTCGTGGTCATTTTAAAATTTTAAAACTTATTGATATTGAAACACAAATGTCAATAATACAATTACGTAATGGAAAATTTCTTGTTATTGATACAGTTGAAATGAATGATCGTCTTCGACAAGAAATTGATCATTTAACGAATAATGGTGAAAATATTGAAGCTGTTATAGGTACACATCCATTTCATACATTATCGTTTCCAGCTTTTTATCAAACATATCCAAAAGCATCTTATTATGGAACACCAAGACATTTACGTCGATTAACAGAAATTCCATGGAAAGGAGATCTCAATGATTGTAATGTTAGAAAACAATGGGAACCAGATATTGAAATGCGTATTCCAGCAGGTTTTTCTTTAAAAAAAAATATTATTTTTCAAATGAAATAAATTATCATTTTATTCTTAGGAGCTGAATTTGTTAATCCTCAACCTGAATCAACAAATCATTTTGTCAGTGTTTTTATTTATCATCCAACATCTCGTACTCTTCATGTTGATGATACAATAATGTATGCTGAAAAACCTGGTTTTTTACTTAAATTATTTGGTTATAAAGACGGTGCAATGGCATTTCATCCATCAATTAAAAATTCTGGTCTTTATCCAACAAGTGATGCACCATATTTATTTCGTGATTGGATGCGTAAAGTACTACACGATTGGCCTTTTGAAAATATTTGTTGTGCACATATAGGTGTTAAAGTGGGTGGAGCACATGCTGATGTTACTACATTACTTAATAATGCTGAACATTTATTTGCTAAACTTAGTGAAAAGAATCGGAAAAAAAATCCTGGAGATGGAATACCACATGATAATCATTCAAATATGAATGTTAGTGGTAACGAATGTGGATAATTATATACATATTTCTGCTTTTCTAAATACAAACTAGTTGTATGTTGCTTTTATTTTAACAACATTAAATATTTAATCCCGCTTATCTTTGATATTTATATTTGATCTAATGAATTACAGGTTATACTTGTAAGAGAATATGATAATTAATAAGCGTAAATATATGAGTTATCTCTTGTTATTTGTATAGGAAACATGTTCAAAATATAATACCGTCAAGATAACGAAATATTTTCATAACAAACATGTATGAAGTCAGATTTCAACTGACAGTGACTGAATGACAATACTACAAGTAAACAATATCTGAACTTTTGATTCCTTGACGAGCTATTACCTTTTATACTAATGAGAGAAGTTTCTCAGGTACCCAGCGTGAGCACTGTAACTCATGATGGTCATGGTCATAATCACGATCACGACCATGACCGTAAATGATTTTTTTTTAAAGTTCATGACCGTGACCTTGACTGAAAGTTAGTCATGGATAGTTACGAATACTGACATCATCACATATTCTATATTTGTATCATAACTACATTGGATTTTCTACAACACAAAGAATTTTATATTCTTTACTTATTTCGATAATTTATTCATTTTTTTCTGAATCAGAATAACGATACATAAAGATCACTAAAATGGCAAATCATAATATAAGTACGTGCTTTTTTTTTTACAATTACACTTAAACAAAAACATGCATATTTTACTATTCCTTTCAAAAAGATGGAATTCATTAAAAAAACACAGTTTTCTTCTTTATCATTAATGACTTGCTCATATTCATAATTATGTGTTTTTTGAACTATTATGAAGTTTAGATATATAATCTTTCTCTTTTCGCTTCGAGATTATAACTGTGATACATTACTTGGTAATTAACTGTATTAAATTGTCCTTTGAGAGAGATTTTAGAACTGAAGTTCAGATGTTCATTATTCAGTTTATATGATAAATTTTGTTATTCAATATTAAAAATCTTTACTTTGTTTCTTTCTCCAGCAACATATTCTTGTCACCTTGACCAATAGAATCGATTAGAACTGAACACTTGACAGAATGTTCATGTCACTCACCAAGATGCAGTCAGACATCAGGAAATGACAGAAAAAATTGTCTAATGCTCGTCGGCAGTTTAGAATTTGATAAATCAAAACTAATGCATCAACTATTCATTCAATACGTGTCACATCAGCTAGTGTAGATGGACATTTCTCAAGAACCTGTTTGATTATACAAGAAAAAGAAATTTGCTTTAATTCTAAACAGCTGAATAACATTTTATTGATAAAGTCAATGAAAAAAAAAATTTGATAAACATACAGTTTTTGTTTTGTATATTAATTTCTTTTTCTTTGCATAATTTTTATCATCATATACTTTTTCATTGGTTTATTTAATTTATTAATTACATTCACTGTGTGTTAATATAACAATGATAAAACATCACAAGTTCATATGATTTTTTCATACTTATTTATTTTCTGTGTTGAACATATCATTAAAATAATAATTCAGAATGGTTCTCTATTTTTTTGTATTTATAATATTATTCATTAGTGAAAATCTAAGTTGTTCTATTTAAAAATGATATGAAATAAATTAGCTAGGAGATGATCAATAAACTAATATGTACTTTGTTGATCGAAAATCAGAATGAAGATTCATACCTGTTTGCGCCCACCTCTTGTTACTGTTGATATACTGCATTTTTATGATATTTTTAAGTCAACACCGTAGTCTCCATCAGGAACACTAGAAAAGTTCAAAGTCGAATTTCGACTTGGAACTTTCTATAGAGACAAAATTTAACAAGAATAATTTACTGGGAAAGTTTCAAATCAATTTGTTGTTCCTATCGTAAGATATAGCTATGATAAAAGCTTCGTCTTTTACACTGCTCATATACATCGATAGTTTTCATGTCCTTATTTCAGGAAAGAAGTAAGTCAAAAGATTTGAAACTTTCATAATAAACTATTCTTGTTAAGATCTGTCTTTCTGCAAAGTTTCAAACCGAAATTTGATCATCAATTTTCCTTATGTTCCTGAGAAAGACCGCGGTATTGACTAAAAGAATATTGTAAAAATGTAGCATNTTAGACAATAGAAAATGATACCAATATGAAATTTGTTCATGAAAAAAATTTATTCTTAATATTCTCGTTTTGTGCCGAAAGATTTGGATGTAACGTATGATGTTTTTCTACTGGAATTTTGCAAAGGAAGAATCGAAGAAGGAAGTTGCGTTGTGAAGAAGATAGCTATCTCCACATATGATATTTTTTGAATGAATTAACGTCTTTGTGCAGTCTTTTCTTCATCAGTTGCATGTTTACTGATAAATTTAGCTCTTATGACCAACTATCCTTAAAATCACGAGGACATCAATAATTTCTCTTCCCTTTTTCGATATGTATGTATTCATCAATACAAATCAGTTGTCATACTAAAATTTTACTATTGGAATACAAAGGTATTTATATTGGGATTGGTAATGTGGAGAGAAAATGGAATATGAATATGGTAACTGATTCTTGATTGATTGTTGTAAAGAGAAAGACTTTAGTGATCATAAGGTAAATTTTTGTCGGTATGATATCATTTGAGAGGTGTTGCCTATCTAAAATTATTGTTCATATGGAAACTTGAGGAAAAGCTACATTTTGATGAAATATTACAGTTAATATTACAGATATATGAGATCTCGTTTTGAGTGTTTTCATCGTATCAATATAAAAGTTGAATAGTCAGTATTCTTACTTTTATTGAGTAATTTTTCAAAATTGAAACAAGAGAGGCCTACAAAGTTGATGCGTCACTAATTCTCTTCTTACAATGATATTAATTATTAATTATTAATTAATTTTTTGATGATTTTTAAAAGAGCTTGATCAAGGGTGTGGGTGTAGATGTGTGCATGAGTGTGACAGTCGTCAATACACTCACAACCACATCCACACCCATACCCACACCCTTTAATATGATCAACAAAAATAAACTTGAGTTTTTCTAATTTCCTTGTATTTTAATTTTGAACTGTTTTAGATACGAAGATGTTAACTATCACAAACCGTCTGGCTTTATTATTAACCATACTTATTACTTATCAAAGGTGTTGCTGTAAATCGATAAGTCTTCGTGTTTATCATGAACCGTCAGGTGATGATTGTATTTGGCAGGGTGATGCACCATTTTGTTTCATTGGTTTTGGCTGTCCATTAAAAATGATCCCTGTCAAAACTGATAAACAAGGTGATGGTGATTATTGTTTAATTGGATATAAGACATATTGTTGTATGTAGCGCGTCGTTGAGAAAAGTCTTTTATAGAGAAAATAAATATTGAAATAAATTGTTAAATGTTAATTTTAGGTTAGTTTTAGAATATTCAATAGATGAAACTTTATTATAAAATTTATAATAATCATTTTAATTAAACCTTGAAGAAAATAGATTTTCATTATAGATATTATAATTCAATCAATTAAATATAAATAATTAGCATAGAAGAAAGAAACTTCAATTACTTTTTTATGTCTTTCAAATCTTTGGAAAGTTGAAGATAATTATCTAAACATTAGAATAATCATTATGGATTATAATTGCAATGAATGGTTAGAGTTTCTTCTACAATCAAAGAGATATATGTAATAAATTCTAAATATTATTTTATAGGCTTGATTTTTATGAAAGTAAATTTCATTTTTGTAAACATTTACAGTAACTCTTATTATCGAATTATATTGAACAAATATTTTTGTTGTAAACTAACCACTTATCACAAAGAGTTGCAATAAAATACAGTATGCAATTAATCGTAAGAAAACCAAATCAGAAAGTATATAAAGAATCAAAGATTGAAAAAAATAAAGTTCATAAGTCAAAAAAAAAATACATATTAATTATTGAAATCGAAAAGTACAGTGGCTATTGAACATTGAATATATAGCTAAATTAAATTATTAGCTTTCAATCACTATAAATATGTTAGAAAACTTTATTTAAAAAAGAAAGATATTCGATTTTCATTTTCATAAATCATAGAATCTTTCTCTAATTTTTAACTCATCATTTCATATTTGCATCAAATACAATTATTCATTCTGATCTTACTTTTTTATATTTTTTCAGAATCTATATATAAAATTCTAGTCAATTTACATGAATAGTCTTTTGAGTAGACAATATACATTTAGTGTTTCATTCTTACTATTCAACTTTATGTACGTTCACATATCACTTAATATATTATTTGAGAAACCATATCTGCCAACATATTCTTGTATGAGTTTCAATAAAACATTATTAGTAATAATAATAGTTCCTTAGACATGAGATATTTATGTATGAATTATTCAGTCGAATTACTTTATACGATCATCAGTTCAAAACGAACTGAGACCTTTTAATCAGAGTAGAATGGCTCAAATTTTCCTAAGATTTTATACTTTACTTTATTTTTCACAAAGATTCCTACAAAGACATAAACATATTCCTCTATACTATTCAAATGACAGGAAACTGCATTTTTTTTTCTTCACTAATCAAGTACTACAGTATATTATGTTTTTCAGTTATTTATCACCTAGTTGCTAATGTTTGTTGAATATTGATGATGAGCATTATGTCTGAATTAAATACTTTTTGAAAACGAAAAATTTGTGTCATCTGTTACAAGACAACGATCTTAATTCGATATTAATATTGAATTTTACTTACGTATGTAAGTAATCAAAAACAAATGAAGAAAATTTATTGGTAACAATCAATGAATGATTACAAAAAAAAAAGAAACAATACGTCTTATGTTGTCAAAAATATAAAAGATTATTTGCTTACAATGACTGTTTATATGAAAAAGAGATGTTCAATTAATTCATCTTAATTTAAGTTAGAAATCAATGTTCTAATATTAATGAAAAATAGTATCTTTTGATGAGTTTAAAATTTACATAAAACGTTTATTTTCTATGATTTTCTTTAGCTTATACATGAGAAAAAGAAAAATTACATAAACACTTCTTTAATATATAATTCCTGATAGTTATGACATCTTATTGTCTGATGACTGAATCAAAATACATCAATGGTACAATCATAATTCAATCCGATCTATAACGAAGATGCATCTACCTATGATGACTCATCATTTGAAAATATGAATTAGTTCATCTAGTTGGTGCAAAATGAGTCATGTACTATTGATTATGTAAGCTGTCCTTCGCTTCTATATTTTTCTCTTTGACCTGTTCTCTCTTCTTTTCTGTTCTTGCACCAATATGATGTGACCGATTGAAAGTGAATATGAGACCCATAAATCTAGTATAAATTGAAGTTATTCACCTCAGATGATTCATTTATATTACCAATACACATCTACTCAATATCATTACATTTAAGTGAAGGTAAGTTTTGATTTGTATTGATGGTTCAATCTCCGCATAGCTTTTTATCTTTTTCATTCAGCAAGTATATGTATAATCACTATCATAGTAGATATTGCGTGAATTAATTTTGATTAAATAGCAGTTTAAATTAAGATTATTCAATAGAAAGTTACATTAACTCATTATTTGTTTTATTATATTGAATCAGTCCTTGCTAAGCATTTTTATTTTTCATATTTATATGAATGTGACGTAGATGTACTACGAGAATTTAAAATAAGTATTGAATAGAAAAATAAATATAACAAAACAGTCAAAAAAACTGACTATTTCTTTGGCTGCAATACTATACTCATATGAGATTCGTTCCTTTTTCTATTAATACTTAAGATCTATGTAAACGCACATAGTAGTGAAAAACATACATATACATTAGAAATTACTATCTAACAAACTAATGGCAATAGTCTTTTGAATATATTGGCATAATGATTGATCCTGATAATATGGATCATACGCAATGAATTTGCTTCTTCTTTTTCTTTCATTATTTTTCTTATCATCTTTTTTGAAATCGAATCATATTTTACATATAGATGTGGTTTCGGTTTGTGAAAAGATAGCTTATGTTTTTTTTTATTGTCTACTTCAAAAGTCAAGAGAAACTGACAAATAACGACTTTTGAAAATCGAAAAACAAATATAAAGAATTCTGTTAGATATCAGTCGACTTAATTCATACTTAATATTCTTTAAATTAGAGCAAACAATACTAAAAAAAGAAATTACTCGGATAAGACTGAGAGCAGATTATTAAAAAAAACCGTTACTATCATGAAATCTTTAGTTCGATGTTCTCTGGCATAGAAGAAAAATAGTTATAGAAACATTTGATTGTCATTTTATTTCGATTAATATTTAATTAAATAACATATTATACGCTAAATAAAAGGAATAAAACCGAAAAAAAGATATACATATCTCCCCCTCTCACCTCATGAGTCAGGATGCATGATTCATCTAAGCAAATGACCGTATATCTGCTCAATGTTAGACAACCCATAATTATTGTCTATATGAGGACGTGCTTGATAAATAATATTTTTGAAACTAGAGGCAAATATTATTGATTTAATATGATTTCGAAAAAAACATCAGCTTTACTTCAGTTCAATGTTTATTTTCAAAACTATAACATATGTTATGACTAGTAATACATAAAATTGTATCGTGACAGTGACCATTGACGTATTGCTTTGTTGATTTAATACTTGAATTTAGTGGCCAATTGAGAGAATCGTAAATTGTTTCTGCAAGTGAATATGAAACAAGTTGTTTTCAATCAATATGTATAGTTTTTGAAAATTCAACTTTTCTAATATCATTATAAAAAAATTTAGGATTTATCTTAAGATAAATCTTAAGCTAAAAAGCATCTAAAGTCTAAAATATCAATTCTGTTGTTATCTATCGTTAGAAAGATTTTGACGTACACAAAACTTGACAATTAAGGTCAAATTAATTACATCATATATTAGTTCTTGTCTTATTTTGGTTGTTACAAAAATTAGTGTAAACTAATTCTAAATTGTATCTTATGAACTTCATTTTGTGCCGATGACATCCTACCATACTATGAAGTTTTTTATTTTGTTTTTATTTAGAACTTGATCACGTAAATATGAATTGTAAATTATCTCGAGCTTCTCTTATCGAACTACGACTTATTCCAACACAAATGCTTATTGATGATGCACTCTGTCCATGCTGTATGCGACCAGTAATCGAACATCGATATGAAATAGGTAATTTAACTAATATATCTATCAAAATAAAACTAATTAGCTTGTTTTTCTTTTATGAATTTTCATAGGACTTGGAAAAGTTCCTTTTACATGGCAAAATCTACTTCCACGGCTTAAACGCATACTCAGAAAGAGTGCTGTAGTATCGATGATAGTTGGAACCGTTGTAGCTTTTGTTATTTTAGCACTTGGCACTCTTGTCAATCATTTAATGACTATTTATGAGAAAAATCGTCAAGAAATCAGCGATCATTTGAAGCAATATCAACAGAAATCATCAAAAGTTGACTACAATCCACATGCGCGTACACTAATAAAGAACAACACACAGAAATACTTTTCTATTGTTACGATTCCTCATGACAATTACAATGATGAAAATTTAGGACTATTATTAGGTTTAATCTCATTCTGTCTTTGTTTATCACTGATATTAATATCATTAATTTTATGGCGATCATTTTCATCAAAATCGTCTTCGATTCCGTCGAAAAGAGAAGAACATGACGGTGAATTAGGAATCTTGATGCCTATCAACATGTCTCAATCTGTTTTCACACAAATTGCTATGAATACTTCCGATCAACTCTAAAAAATAGACGTGCATGAGGAACAGCTTTTGCTATTTGTACAAAACGATTTATTGTAATAATTCTTTTTATGTTTATTTCAAAAATACAAAAACAAAAAAAAATAAATTCAAGCATAGAATTTGACGTACAGAACTATGATTTTATCAGATAAAAAACAGTGCAAAATTCTTTTTTTTATGAATAACTATCTTTAGGAAGTGGTTAAGCATCAAACTTAGAGCTATATTTGTTAGTCTAAACTTAAATGTGCATGAAGTTAATCGTTTATTATGCTTGAAATAATTTATATTAATGATTTCGGCACATTTATCCGATCCATAATTGATCTGCGTATGAAATATTTCTCATTTTAACTCAATACAATTGATCATATTAAAACCAAATTATTATATTGTCAGTTTCTAATTGAAGAAGTTAATGTATGATCCAGTTATGAAAACTCTAGACAAAGAAATTCAATTGTTATACGATTGCCAGTGTTTCTACCAGCAGATGATAGTACAAGAACAATTCGAATTCATTTTTTAAGCTATGAACAACTTTTCTAAACAGTGCGTTCTGATAATTGTGATGGAATGTATCAATCATATCATTGTGAAAGAATTTATATCAATATTTGCATCACTAGATCTTTAGGATGTGGCTTGTGAGATTCCTAGAATGTTGAAGAGAAGATTCACTTACTCTAATCCACATTGTGCCAGATATTCTCATAATCACACAGCTTAGAAATGTAGCATTTACTTTAAGTTAGTACAAGATACTAACTTTCAAATTTATTATTTCATATTAACTTAACGTAAATGAATAATCTTTTAATATGTAAAAGCTATCTTGAGAAAGAATGCATTTTTGCTCAAAAATGATATTATTTAATTTGCGATCATCTTGTATTAAATCTGAAGATGATCAATATTCTTCATTGTACAATCTAGCACTTTCAGTAACAAGATACTGAAGTAGTATGCTTTCAATACGATTTTTATTTCTTTCAATAAGTTTGTTCTTATAGGCTCGTAGGTATATAATTCTTCTCTATATGGATTTGTTAGTTTTGTATAGTATTGAAAGCTGGTGCGAAGCTAAGAGTCTAAATTAATTCCTTTCCAAACAATTGTTGCAATCGTCGTTAATATTTGTGGTACAATTGTTAGTTCATGTTCATGTCCTTTTTCTTGGCATGCAGAACATAAATCGAAATTTTCACATGTAGAACAATGATATCGCTGCCCAATAAGTGGATTCATTTGACATCCGTTGCAGGAAACTCCAGGCCACATATATTCATCTGGGGTTTTTTGTCCATCTTGTGACCAGTATCGAATAGCATCCGCCCCTTTGTCAAAAATGTCGCTGCGGCCGTCACTAGTTAAGATTCTTCCATCAGCTAATAGAACGACCAGCGTTGGAATACCATCGACATTAAATTTTTCTTTCAGTTTTTTCTCACGATCTCGTTCTAAAACGAAAGAACTCAGTATTTATTGCAATCAAATTCAATTCTGATTTATCTTACACCAGGATTACTCAGACTACGAATATAGATGCACAATTGTAAGAATGAATGAGTGTGAGAGAAAAAGAAAATTTTACACATCTCTGAATACATTCTAATGCTCCTGAATAGTAATTTTAACCTTTGTTTTAAGCGAGTTTAGTATTGAGTCTATAAGTCGAACTATTATTATACGTATATATTTTCAATTGACTGTATCAATCAAAAATAGTTCGCTTTCAAGATCAACTTAATAGTGAAGAGAACACATGATTATTTCATTGGTTTGTCGGGCTATAGAAATTTTGAAAAATTTCAACGAAACTGTTTGTCATTGTAGTCCCAAGGTGTAAAGATTTTTGACTAGAAGTTCTACGATTTGTCTATTAGTTTTACTGTAGAATTGTAAATTACGGTATTCGAACAGTAAAGAAACTATTAGAATCTGAAGACAAAAGTCAATATGACAGTTTCTGAATACATTCATGAACATATTAGCTTACCTGAATAAGGAATGGCTTTCCATGGCATAGTATGAAAGTATTCGTCGAAAGATTTTTCATCTTCATCTGACGACACAAAAACAATATCGAATCGATTGTGCAATTCAGGCTGAATTTTCTTGTAGCATTTAGCCAATATGGGAGTGAAATATTGACACGGTCCACACCAATGAGCCCTTAAAAACACAATTTTTTGAAATGATAATTAATTACAGAATTTATCTTACGAAAAATAGATCGCTACAGTCTTGTTATCAAGTTCACTGGTTGGTATTCGTCGATAGGTTTCGTTACTTTTGCCAGCATTGACTTCCAGTAAAGTTTCTCCTAGCAAATCACTTAGTTTTGTTGCCATTTAGTAAACACACCGATTATAAAGAGCAAAATATATGTTGACAGAAGATTGTATTTTATGTTTTATGTAGAATGAAAAAAGAAAAGCGACGGCCATTGGCACCTATTCACAGTGAAAAATGTGTTTTTTCTTTCCTTTCATGTTTGATGTAAAAAGATTAATAATGAAAAATTGAAATGATCTGCAAAAAATCTTTTTCTATGTGCACATTTATAGTAATTATAAGAAAGCAAAGCATGACAGTAGTCTAGCTTTTGACTGTATCGACACGAATCAATCTCTAATGTTTATAAACTGCGCTAATAATCATACTTGACGAATAGAAACATCGGCTTCATCAAAGAGAAAAAAGAATCGAAGAAAAAAAAAGAATAATATTCATATGAAAGATAATTTCTTTTTTGCGCTATGTCAAGGACCTTTCAATAGCTGTCGATGATTCATACACGAACATTTTTTTCTATTCATTTAGTATGATAACACGAAAAGTGTTTTCGTTCTTTTGTCGACAGAGATGCTTCAAATTTTCTTAGTGAAAAACGAATATCAAATAACTAGATTGGTAAGCTTCTTCAATTCAAAAAAGAAAATGACTAATGAACGCGTGAAAGTATATAGGAAGAGAGATTTCACCAACACGTTCAAAGAGAAGATCGACCACAATAATAACTACATTCGAATTCAGGGATGGACATAGTGTCCCTTGCTGCACTATATGATGTATAGTGCAGGAAGTTTGGAAAGTAACATTTGTTCTTGATTAGTTAGACTCTAAATTTGACAATATTTTGTTTAAACACTGAGAAATAGCGAAATTTTCACGTTTTCTGATATGTACACGTACACTTTTGTCAAGACTATCTTGTAATCTGATTTGAGATTTTCACCTTTACTATCAGCCTTTCCTTCCGGATTGATAATAGGACTATAATCAATCAAAATATCAAATGGTGCAAAAGTTAGCATGTGAAAAGAGTGAACTATGATCATCTGTTTGTTCATCCATCATCAATTTTGAAAGACACTAATAAATACGATTGGATTATTTTTATGAATAGAAAATTTTCGAACACGGAATATGTTTGACTTAGTATATTCTCAGTATTCCAGATTCTTAGAGAACGAAAAATATATTTAAAGTTAGATGTAAAGTATAGTAAGATCCTGATGATAGTTTATAATGTGGATGAGAAGAAAAGATATGTACTTTTGTTTAAAGACTATTGAATTGAATTACTTGTGTGAATCCGTCAGAATTTTATTGAATTTATCTTATCTTGAATACGACGTCATTAACAAAAATTATCTTTTTAGTTCTTGATTTAGCCATTGTATCTTATTGTAAATAAACTATGCATGAGATAAATATATTTTTCGTTCTCTAAGAATCTGGAATACTGAGAATATACTAAGTCAAACATATTCCGTGTTCGAAAATTTTCTATTCATAAAAATAATCCAATCGTATTTATTAGTGTCTTTCAAAATTGATGATGGAT